ATCCATGTCCCAGATGCTTAGGGCCTTCCACACAGGTTTGGTAATCACAACTGAGCTGGAACTGCTGCTGCCCTGCTGGCAGGTGGTAATGACAGGGGACCTGTTCTTTCCTGCTTTGTGCTGACACCATGCATACTGATCTACTGGGGGATGGGAATATGTCCCACACAGACTCAGATGTGGACACACCCCCCCACACACACACACACACACCCCACACAGTCAGTTCTGGGGATGTCAAGATAATGCCCCTCGTGTTCTTTTGAAGTTGTTCTCTCCCTTCTACAGAACAGATAGGAGGCCAGCTCAGCAGGTTGGTTTTGCAGAGCTGGGATAGAGGGAGCTTGCTGCAGCCCAGGCCTTTCTTCAAAGGTGTCCAGCACGATCCCCCTGCAAGGCCACCGATAACCACCACTTGGCCTTCTGAGGGGGGTTGGCCTGGAGCCCTTTTGGGTGCTTTTGCTACCCTTTGTTAATGGTGTAGGAGCTGCTGACCTGAGGCCCACACAGTGCCCACTCATGATGTTCCTTGTCTTGCTAAGTGTAGCTGGGGGAAGCCTGAAGCACCTGTGTGTTCAGGTGAGCTTACGATTTAGGAGGTCAGGGACTAGCAGTCCTGTGGCCTCGGGAAAATCTTGATCTCTCTTTTGGGTGTGGTCCTGTTCTTGCTCATTACTGATAGTTGTAGTACACCTGATTTGATGTGTTTTAGATCTTCCCTGCCAAGTGACTTGGAGTCTCTCAGTGAGACCAGAATATTTGTCTGATGTGCAAAATCACATCCCTGAAGTCACAGGAAATGTACTGAACTACTCTCACCAACAAAAGCAGTTGGCAGATTGGTGAGACATCATTAATCAAGTCCTTATGGAGCCTGCTCCTCCTTCCTTTTTTTTATTTGCATGTTTTAAAGCAAATCATTATATCATTCAGTCTGCAAGTACTTCAGGCTTTCTCTAACAATAGACAATAATTTCTAATTTCAACAATTAAAAAAGATATCCTGCCAATCCTTCCTGACGTCCAGCTAGATGATCAGTAATTCCTTAATATCATCCAATGCCTAGTCTGTTAAATTTCCCCATTGTCTCAAAAACATCATTTTTAAACTTCCTATCAAGATCCAGACAAAGCCTAGACAAATCATGTTTGGATTTTTTTTTTAAATAGCCTCATTGAGATATAGTTCGTATATGTATAATTCAGCATTTTTAGTATAGTCACAGGATTATACAACTATCACCATAATCTCATTTTAGAACAGTTTTATCTCCCCTAAAAGAAACCTCTATGCCTTTTGGTGGTCATGCCCTATCTCCCACCACAGCTTGGCTATACCTAATCTTTTTTGTCTCTTAGATCTGCCTGTTCTGGGAATTTCATACGAGTGGAATCATACAACTTGGGACCTTAGCACAGTTTCTCCGTGTTGGAGCATGCACCGTTGCCTTAGGCCACTGCATGATTTCTGTTGTGTGCATAAACTACATTTTATTTATTTATCCATTCATCAGTTGATGGACATTTGAGTTATTTCCACCTCTTGACTCTTATGAACAATGCTGCCATGAACATTTGTGTCAGACTTCTGTGTGGACATGCTTTCATTTTTTCTGAATATATGCATTAGAGTGGGATTGCTGTTTAGTGTGTTAAGAAACTACCAAACTGTTTCATAGTGACTGCTCCATTTTACATTTCCACCAACAGTGTATGAGGTTCTAAATTCTTAATGCCCATGTCAACACCTATTGTTGTTCATCTTTTTGATTGTGGCCATCCTGGTGAACATGCAGTAATGTCACATTGTGACTTTTCTTTGTGTGTCCTCATGGCAAATGATGAACACATTTTCATATGTTTATTTGCTATTTGTATATCATCTTTAGAGAAATATCTGTTCAACTCCACTGTCTTTTTTTTTATAATTGGGTGATGTGTCTCTTTATTATTCAGTTTTAAGCATTTTTATAGATTCCAGATATAATTCCATTCTTAAATATATGACTCACAAATATTTTCTCCCGTTTTGTGAACTTTTTTTTCCCTCATTCTTGGTGATATCACTTGGGACTCAAAAGTTTGTAATTTTTATGTAGTCCAGCTTATTTTTTTATTTTTCCATGTTATTTTTATACTATTTTCTTCTAAGAGACTGATGGTTTTAGCTATAGTTATATTTTAACTGATGTATTTATATTTATATTATTAACTATCCGTTTTGAGTTAATTTTGTATATGGTATGAAGTAGGGGTTCCAACTTCTTTCTTTTACGTATGGATATCCCATTGTCCCAGTAACCTTTTGTCTGTTTGTTTAAGACTGTGTTTTAAAAAGTATTCTTAGTGAATTATTTTGGAAGCTTTGTTGAAAATCAATTGACCATAAAAGTGAGGATTAATTTCTGGACTTTGAACTGTGTGTCTATTCTTATATCAGTACTGCCTTGTCTTTGTTACTATAACTTTACAGTAAATATATTTTAATATGTAACTTGTTAAAAGAGTATGTTAATCTGATGTCCTCAATGCAAAGGAACTAATGCAGAAACTTTAAAACGACAGAGGCCAATAGGAGAAGGGGACCAGGTACTAGAGAAAAGGTTAGCTCGAGAAGAATCAATTTAGAATGGAACACATATGCACAGGAGAGCGATGCTAGGAATCTCCCTGTATAGGTATCCTTATCTCAACTAGCAAAAACCCTTTGTCCTCCTTAGTAATGTTTATACTATCTCTTCAACAAAATTAGAGATAAGGGCAAAAACAGTTCCTGCTCGGAAGGGAGGGGGTGAGGGGGGAGAGGGAGGGGGCAAGGGGAAAGGAGCAGGGAGAGGGGGAGAAATGTGCATTCATTGTATGTACATACGAATAAAAGAAATTTTAAAAAGAATATGCTAATAGTAACATTAAAAGAGACAATAAAACCTATAAATGTTATCAGACCATTTATTTATGAGCAACCTAAGCCATACCTTCAGCCCCAGGCTTCATGTTTGCTAGGCAGGCGCTCTACCACTTGAGCCATGTACCTAACTAGAATCCCCCATGTTTGGATTTGATTGATGGTGTCATTAAACATATTTCTTGGTCCTTCTTTTTGGTAACTAGTGTTTAGTCTAGAAGTTTACTTAAATTCACACTCAAGTATGTAATACTTATTCTTTATTGCCAGGAATATATCCTAAGTGGTGCTGTACACTTCCTGTTCATCAATCAGGAGGCATCTGTTCTCTGGTTATTCTGCTCTTGTTAATATTAAATTGATTTGTGGGTTTAGATGTTATCAGGCAGATCCATTTATTGTACAGATTCTGACCAAGTTTTCATTACTTGGTTTTAACAGCCATTGGACTTTACTTTGATCTGTTGATTATGTCCTTGTGAGTGCTAAAGTAATGATTTTGGACTTCTATTATCATCTTTTCATTTCTTAACTATGAATCTTTCCATCATCCACAAATAGAAATGTTAGGATAAATGCTTGCTTTTTTTCCCCCATTATTTGTCAGTTTTCAGTATGAGTTGATCTAGCAACCTCCTACTAATGATTACTTTTTAAATCTTTTTGGATTCTATATGTGTTTTAGCCCATTCTAGTCATCCTTTTTCTGATGCTTAAATTGTCCCATCACCTGAAATTAATCATATGAGGTCTGAAATTTGCTTCAGAATAATCCAGGAAAGAACTGAGGGTAGAGGAGGAGATGAGACCTGATTGGCCACATGTTGGTAATTGTTGAAGCCTGCTGGTGGATTCATTTTATTATTCTTCTTTTGCACATAGTCTTAAAAATCATTTCATTTTTGGACAATTTGAATTCCTTGGTATTGGCTCAGTGACATCTTAGTGACTTTCTTGATTTAAGACACAAGAGGCCCCAGAATGTTCTGCCTTGTCTGCCTCAGGCCTCCATTGAATTATTTCTCCAAGAGTCCCTGGTTCCTTTTAGTGGACATGGTGTTTTGAGACCGCCTGGTGGAAGCACTGGGGGGCTTTTTACTACAAGATTGTACTTGTTCCTGGCCTCTTCCATGGACACAGCTAGAAAATGTGTTTTTCAGAAAAAGGAAAATGAGTCATATACTCAGGTCAGTATTTCCAACTCAGATAAAAGATCGCAGGGCTTTCATTCAAATGTTTGCTTTATATTTTTTGTTACCGATTTTATGCTATAAATCTTGGTTTCTAACAATGAACATAAATACTTATTTACTTTATCTTAATTTTATATAGTATTCTATTTATGTGTAATGAAACATGCTAATATTAATGTGTATATGAATGTATAAAGAGAAGGGAGAGAGAGTGTTGGTTTTAAAATTTTCATGTCAATATTTTTATTTACATGTCTTCTGTGGTTCACTTTATTCTTAAGATCCATTCCACCCAGAGATGTATAGTCAAGAGACTTTTTTCTGAAGTTACTTGAAATAATTATTTTCCTTATGTAAGGGTGTCAATATAACATACTGTGTCCTTTTGCTTTAATTTTTAGTTACTGCTTCTTCCTGATGTTCATTGTGAAAAACTATAATACAAGAAATGTTCAGAGAAGTCTAGTTTCATCCTTGTTCCTTCTCCTTGTTTTTCCCTTCTTCCTATGGACAAGCATTTTTATTAGTACTGGGTCTATCCTCCGTGTAATTTTTTAAAGTACATAGACAATATAAAATAATGTTTTAAAAATAAAAATACCTTCCTCCCTTTCTGACAAAGGGTACCATACTACATCTCTTGAGGCATTTGCTTCTTCACTTTATAATCAATCCTAGAAATTCTTCCTTTAAATATTTCCATTAGACCTTTTTTAATCAGACTGGCTTTACCATGTTCTTATTCAAGTGCACCATAAGATATTACAGCCTGTTATTAATTACACCATAAAATACTGGGACAGTTAGTGACTTAACCATGAGTTTTATTATCAATTGTTTTTTTGCTTCTCGTCACAGAATATGATAAATGACTTACCTATGTTTTTTTATTTCTCTCTCAGTCTTAAGGAATTCTTGCCCAAAGAATACATCAAGCAGAGAGGAGCGGAAAAAAGAATATTTCAGGTATTGGAAATATACAGAAATTTATTGTCCTCCCCACTCCCTGTCCTCACTTATCAGCACAAGGGCCTCCCGCACATGATAGCTTTGTATCCCGTGTATGTACTGTTAGAGAATAAATGAGTGCTGACCTAAGAGTTAAAGAAGCTGACAGTTCTACTTTGGACAGATTTATGATCTTAATCCATACTTTCTTGCTAAAGGTTACTTAGCCCTTCTGAAAAAATGTGCGTACATTTAATTTCTGCAGAGTTATTCTGGTAGTGCTGAAACAAGGTGATAGACCATTGAAGTGCAGAGGAAGAAGAAACAAGGATCACTATCCTAAGATTTGCTTTTGAAGCTAAATTGGGGGACTAGTGCCTTTTTTAAAAGTTGATTATTATTTTAAAAGTCAGAGACTTGTCCATTCCAGGCACCTGCTAAGAAAAGCCTGATCACCAACTTTACTGTGAAACACTCTAGTAAATCCAAGATATGAAAGTTTTCTTTGATAATGAAAGGGGAATATAAATGTCATATATAGAAAACTTATTTTCCCCATATTGTTTCTAAGTATTGTCATTTACAGGCCTGTATATGCCCTGTTCTGTGGGAAAGACACATTTTGAATAGATGCTAGATAGAAAAATCATTAGCATTTCTATACACTAACAATGAGCAAATGGAAAAAGAATGTATGAAAACAATTCCATTTACAATAGCCTCAAAAAAAATCAAATACCTAGGTGTAAACCTAACAAAAGATGAAAGATGAAAGAGGTGAAAGACCTCTACAAGGAAAACTATACACTTCGGAAGAAAGAGATTGAGGAAGACTATAGAAAGTGGAGAGATCTCCCATGCTCGTGGATTGGTAGAATCAACATAGTAAAAATGTCTATACTCCCAAAAGTAATCTACATGTTTAATGCAATTCCCATCAAAATTCCAATGACATTCATTAAAGAGATTGAAAAATCTACTGTGAAATTTATATGGAAACACAAGAGGCCACGAATAGCCAAGGCAATACTCAGTCAAAAGAACAATGCAGGAGGTATCACAATACCTGACTTCAAACTATATTACAAAGCAATAACAATAAAAACAGCATGGTACTGGCACAAAAACAGACATGAAGACCAGTGGAACAGAATAGAAGACCCAGATGTGAAGCCACACAACTATAAGCAACTTATCTTTGACAAAGGAGCTAAAAATATACGATGGAGAAATAGCAGCCTCTTCAACAAAAACTGCTGGGAAAACTGGTTAGCAGTCTGCAAAAAACTGAAACTAGATCCATGTATATCACCCTATACCAAGATTAACTCAAAATGGATCAAGGATCTTAATATCAGACCCCAAACTCTTAAGTTGATACAGGAAAGAGTAGGAAATACTCTGGAGTTAGTAGGTATAGGTAAGAACTTTCTCAATGAAACCCCAGCAGCACAGCAACTAAGAGATAGCATAGATAAATGGGACCTCATAAAGCTAAAAAGCTTCTGTTCATCAAAAGAAATGGTCTCTAAACTGAAGAGAACACCCACAGAGTGGGAGAAAATATTTGCCAACTATACATCAGACAAAGGACTGATAACCAGAATATATAGGGAACTTAAAAAACTAAATTCTCCCAAAACTAATGAACCAATAAAGAAATGGGCAAAGTGAACTAAACAGAACTTTCTCAAAAGAAGAAATTCAAATGGCCAAAAAACACATGAAAAAATGCTCACCATCTCTAGCAATAAAGGAAATGCAAATTAAAACCACACTAAGATTCCACCTCACCCCTGTTAGAATAGCCATCATCAGCAACACCACCAACAACAGGTGTTGGCGAGGATGCGGGGAAAAAGGAACCCTCTTACACTGTTGGTGGGAATGTAGACTAGTACAACCACTCTGGAATAAAATTTGGAGGCTACTTAAAAAGCTAGACATCGATCTACCATTTGATCCAGCAATACCACTCTTGGGGATATACCCAAAAGGCTGTGACACAGGTTACTCCAGAGGCACCTGCACACCCATGTTTATTGCGGCACTATTCACAATAGCCAAGTTATGGAAACAGCCAAGATGCCCCACCACTGATGAATGGATTAAGAAAATGTGGTATCTATACACAATGGAATTTTATGCAGCCATGAAGAAGAACGAAATGTTATCATTCGCTGGTAAATGGATGGAATTGGAGAACATCATTCTGAGTGAGGTTAGCCTGGCCCAAAAGACCAAAAATCGTATGTTCTCCCTCATATGTGGACATTAGATCAAGGGCAAACACAACAAGGGGATTGGACTATGAGCACATGATAAAAGCGAGAGCACACAAGGGAGGGGTGAGGATAGGTAAGACACCTAAAAAACTAGCTAGCATTTGTTGCCCTTAACGCAGAGAAACTAAAGCAGATACCTTAAAAGCAACTGAGGCCAATAGGAGAAGGGGACCAGGAACTAGAGAAAAGGTTAGATCAAAAAGAATTAACCTAGAAGGTAACACACATGCACAGGAAATCAATGCAAGTCAACTCCCTGTATAGCTATCCTTATCTCAACCAGCAAAAACCCTTGTTCCTTCCTATTATTGCTTATACTCTCTCTACAACAAAATTAGAAATAAGGGCAAAATAGTTTCTGCTGGGAATTGAGGGGGGAGAGGGAGGGGGTGGAGTGGGTGGTAAGGGAGGGGGTGGGGGCAGGGGGGAGAAATGAACCAAGCCTTGTATGCACATATGAATAATAAAAGAAAAAGGAAAAAAAAATAAACCCACAGATAAGGGTAAAAAAAAAAGAATAGATGTTAGAATGACCTGTCTCCTTAGAAGAATCTTTTTCTTGCTATCACTTAAAGTGTGGGCTCCGAACCTTTTGGGATTTGAATTATAATTATGTACCCTGTTCCTGCCACACTGCACATGTACAGTAATCTTTGCACTCAGTTGTGAAGCATGTAGGCTGCCTGGGTTCAAGTTCTGTTTTGAACCCTGCACTTAAACTTTCTATGTGCTCTGCTCCTCAGTCAGCAGACACCTGTGTCCTGGAGGGATTTCAGACATAAGCATTGCTTGTTGCCTGTTTGTAGCCCCTGTGTACCCCACCTATAAGGACTACCTGTCAGCAAATCCACCTGCTGGCAAAGCTGCAATAATGGATTCCCCACCCCACTCTCACTGTCACTTTTACAGGAGCATAAGAACTGTGGAGAGATGAGTGAAATAGAAGCCAAGGTCAAGTACGTCAAACTTGCCAGGTCCCTCCGGACATACGGTGTGTCCTTTTTCCTAGTGAAGGTGAGTGAGGCAGGGTGGAGAGGGTGTTCACAGGGTCTACCCTTTTTTCTTTCAGTAAAGCATTTATTGCTAAGTTTGGTTTATCACCTAGACCCCTGGCCTTTGTAAATGAGCATCAGGTCAGTAGTGATCTAAGTTTCAATCTCAGCACACACATAAAGGGCATGAACATCCAGGCTGACGAGGCTGTTCAGGCCTCTGGCAGTGTGCCTTGGCTTGGATCACTGCTGCTGCTGTAATGTAAGCTCATGAAGAAGTGAGGACACTATCGTTTCTTCTCATATTTTCTGAGAGTGACTTTTACTCATGACCATCAGAGGCCTCTAGACTAAGAGAAAGTGATTGACCACTATCAACCAAATGGAATTAATGTCATAAATATCGTACTTAATTTGTGTACCTTCAGACAGGCCATGGGTTTTGGTGTCCTTTAGAGCTGCTTTCATGGGAACTACTTGTCTTCCTGCTAGAACAAAAGAGGTATCTTTGAAACTCAACCTTGAGCAAGCCTAGGTAGACACTTGACGTGTGTTTTCTTCAGGTGACTGACCAGTCCTCCCATTAGTAGCACTTCCCTTTGCTCTTCCTGACCTGAATTGCTCAGTTTTGTCATCCAGTTAATGGGTTTCACTGATTTCCACTTGTTTTCCTGTGATTTTAGGCCATATGCCTCTTGCCATTGGAGAAAGCTCTACCATGGAGTGAGGGCTCTTGCATTGCTTACATCAGATGGGAAGGAACCCAGTGTATTGTGGCTGCTTTCAGGGAGTGATGAGAGATGGATGAAGTAGGTTTCTTTATCCATTACTCAAGAGAACTGAAAAGAAGGGAGTTTGGGGATCCTCTCGGATGTTTTTCTTGATCCCGCACCTCTGGGGAGCAAGTAGATTCCTTTAGGGAGGAGAAGAATCAAGATGTTGCACTTTAGAATAATATTTAGACTCATTGCCTCTGTGTATGAGAATAGCATAATGAAATGCACAGTAAGCTGTTGAATAATAGGTGAGATTAGGAGATAGAGTAATAGAGGAGGCTAACCTGATTAAAGTACAATATACACATGTGTGAAATACCATAGTGTGACCCCCTTTGAACAATTAATATATACTTTAATATATGAAAGACAGGAATGTAAAACAAGTCCTATTAGGGGTAGGTACTAGTGGTACGGGGAGGGTGAGCGGGCTGGGTAAAGGAGGGTGAATATTGTTAATATACTTGAATGAAAATAGAACAATGAAATCAGTAGAAATTGTTTAAGAAGGGGGAGAGGGGAATGAGGGAGAAAGATGGAGAGAGTGAATGTAACCAAGGTAAATATCACACTGAAACCCCCTGTATAACTAATATGTGCTAATTTTGATATGTTGTAAGAACCCTTGTAAATGCCACAATGTACCCCCACCCAGCACAACAATAAAAAGATGCCACACTTCAGAGAGGCATATACTTCATTACAATTAGTTACCCCAAAAAAACGAACTCTCAACTTTCACAGAAAACAGTGGGGCCTTTGCCAATACATCTTTGCTTTTATCAGTCTTTTTTTTTGAGACAGGGTCTTGCTGTGTAGTCCAGGCTGGTCTCAAATTCACATTCTTCTACCTCAGCCTTTAATGCTAGGACTCCTGGCACTAAAGTGTGTGCAGACTCCCAGCATTCATCTTCTTTTTAAGAAAAATAATTTACAGTTTGAAACTTTTATGTTTTGTAGAGTTTTAAACTATTAAGGAAATGTTGAATGGCCCTGATACCATCCAGGCAATGACTTCTCCATTTGCCAACATTAACAGTAATGATAACCATCCTTAGTGAAGTCAGCCAGGTTCAGAAGGCCAAAAGTCACATGTTTTCTCTCATATGTGCAATTTAGACCTAATAGAAATATAGCAGTTCTATGAAAAACAGTTCACGCTAAGGAAGGTCAAAGACGAGAAGGGGAGGGTAAAAGAAGGAAGTTAAGAAGGTGAATATGGTTGATGTACTCTCTATACAAGAATGAATATAGAATTTTTAAACTGGTTGAAACCACCATAAGAAAGGGACTAAGGTAGAAGGAAGAAAAATAGAGGAGATGAACCAAATAGGATTATAATACATATAAACATAGATGTGCCACAAGGAAACTTCCTTTGTAGCTGTCTTAAGCAACCAAAAATGTCACTTTTTTTTCTTCTTTTCTTATACAAAATTGGAGAACAGGAAGGTAAGCAGGTCCTGCCTGGCAGTGTTGGTACCAGTGGGAGGGGGGAGAAGGTGGGGAAATGGTGAAGAAGGGTGAATATGGTGTAAATACTGTATACACATGTATGTAAATGGAAAAATGATATCTGTTCAAGCTATTCCAGGAATGAGGGGAGAGAGTATGAAGGAGAATAGTGGAAGGGATGCATTTAAGGATGATATATTTGATACATTGTAAGAACTTTCGTAAATGTCACAATGTACCTTGTTTATTGTTGCACCCAGCACAACAATAAAAAAGGGAAAAAATAAAAACATGAAAGAGTAAAACAATAATAATAATATTTAGAACATAGTTATATGCCAGGCATGTCTCATTGAAATCCCTCTGCAGCCCAGTGGAAGAGCTACTGCTAATGCCTTCTTTTAATAAATGAGCTGGCAGAGACCCAGAGGGACCCAGTGGCTAGTAACTGAAGGAGCCAGGACTAGCACTCAGGTGTCTCTGATTTCTCAGAGTTCCAACCACTGCCTAGGCTTCCTTAGGTGCGGTCGATCACCTGACTCCTCTGTCGTAGCTCCCACCCACACCCGAACACAGGGCAGAAGACCTGCTCAGTTTTGGAGGAGCACTCTTCTTTTATTGTTGTGAAGAGGCACTATGAGTCGATCAGTCCCAGCACCTCACAGGACAAAGGTTAAATGTATTTTTAGCATGTCCACTGAGAATGGCACCCATTCTCAACTATTTCCTTGAATTTTTCTGTAGTTCTTCAAGTGCAAAATTCATATGTCATTCACATCACTTTCTGTTAATCACATCAGACTTTATGCAGTCATTTTCTGAAATGTGCTAACAAAATATTGTGCCTTTTGAGTTTAGGTTCAGTAACACAGAAAAGCATATGTAAATAGAAAGGAAGAAGCTGAAATAGCAAGTTGAAGACAAAATAAATTTGTTCTCCAAAGACAAGTTAGAACCTTAGGAAAGTCTGCCAGTTGTCAGGAAGAGGTAGAGCACAAACCTCCTGTTACAGCAAGGTCTAGCAGATTTGGTCAAATCTGCTTTCACAAAACTATTTAAGGCAAAATAAGAAAAGACTAGAATTTCTTTCATTTCTGACCCTTCCCACTGTCCTCTCTTCTTACCTTTCTCTTCCTTCCTTTTCTTTTTCTTTTTCTTTGAAGAGAGACGAGTCAAGAAAGTAGGTAACATTTACAACCTTTATATACATATTTGTCACTTTCATTTCATTTTTGTCACTTTATACAATGTTAATAGCACATTGGTCACTTTAATTTTTTGCTTGATCCATTTAGTGTGACATTCTATAATTGTCTCAAAAATATAACTTGTCCATCTTGTTTTAAAGGTGGTATTGCTGGGAATTTAGAAATGATTCAGTATTAATTAATGAATCTTGAAAATCAAATCAGCAAGTTAAATAAGATTAAATATGATAATTTTATGTAAATTCACTAAGGTTTTTGATAAAATTCAGCATATGCTCTTTAGTAAGATTTCTTTAAAATGCAGGAATATTAGTGTCTTTGCTCAATATGATAGAGAACTATTTCAAACCTATTGTCCGTATCATGATTAACAGAAATGCAAGAGAGAACCATGGAAGGATTGGGATAGGAACAAATGTACCACCCTCTCACTTCCTTGTAACACTGTTGTGGAGGTCCAGAGAAATGCAGTAAGATATAAAAATAAAAGATAAAGTAATTACTTTAGCAAATGAAGGAACAAAATTAATATTAGTTGTTGCTATGATTATCTTATAACAACACATATTTAATCACTTTTAAACAGTTCTATTTTGACATAATTGTAGATACACAGGAAGTTATAAAAGTGATACACAATCAAAACATCAGGTAATACAATGAGTGTTGGTGAGCATGTGGGGAAACTGAAATCCTTAAAATGGTACAGGCACTTGAAGAACAGCTGTTGCTTGATTAAACAGAGTATTATATGACCCAGAAATTCCACTCCTTGGTTTATACACCAAAGAGGATTGAAAGTATATATCTATTCAAAAACTTGTACATGTGTGTTTACAGCAGCCTTTATACCAACTACAGAAAGAACACAAATGCCCATCAGATGATGAATGCTTAAACAATTGATAGGATATCCATACAAAGAAATATTATTCAGCCACAAAAAGGTACATAGTACCAATATATACTGCAACATGGGAGAACTTTGCAAGTAGAAGGTCACAACAGGTCATATATTCTATGATTCCATTTATATGAAGTGTCTAGAATAGATAACTCTGAGACACAGAAAGTAGTTGTTTAGAGGTATGGTGGATGCAGAGGATACGGAGGTTCCTTTTGATGTGATGAAAATTTTCTAAAATTGACAGTGGTGATAGCTGTACAACACTGTGAATATACTAAACTTCATTGACTCATATTCTTTAAATAGGCAAGTTGTATTGCTATGTGAATTGTATATGAATAAAGCTGTTTTAAATAGAAAGAAAGGTCTCGTGTACCTTTCAAGTTTCCTTGAATAGTAGCCATAGTATAATGCTGTAGCCTGGAAATCAACTTTGGTGCAACACACAGAACTTAGTTCCTCAGCTTTACATGCTCAATTCCATGCTCAGTTCTGTGCAGTTTTATCAAGGGTATAGATTTGTATAACCACCACCATAATCAAGGTACAGAGCTCTATTTCATCACCACAAGGATCCCCAGGCTACGCATTTGTGGTCACATACCTCCTCATCTCCCTACACTACTCCCCCTCCCATTCCTGTGAACCACAAATCTGTTGTTGATCTCTCAAATTT